TGAATTTTACTGTAAGTCTTAGTGTTTAAATTTTCATTAAGAATAAACTGTTCTTCAGGTTTATATATCAGCAAAGTGAAATTATACAGGCCTTCAGATTTTTTGATCAATGTTATTTACTTCAAATTCAGAATACAATTTCTTTCTGAAGAGAACATGAGGAATTTTATGTGCTGGTTAATAATTCAAGCTGTGGTGCCACATTTAAATATCAATTCAATATGCAGCTTTTTGCCTCAGTTTCCCAAGGATGTACAGCAGAGAGAGGCATTTCCTGGAGAAAGAATTAATTAGCATCTGTAAGGAAAGTTAACTTCTCTTTACACAGGAACTCTTCTTTCAGAGGGAAAATGGTAAGCCTTCTGAGATAAAAAAGCAAAGACTAGAAATTTGAAACATTATGGAAGTTTGAAGGATAAAAAAAACCAAGGGGTTATAATTATCTTGAGAAAGCCATATGTCATCAGACAGACTATAACACGGTGATGAAGGGATATTAAGTGGATGTGGATGAAGTCCTGAGGGATTCAGGCTCTATGCCATCAGCAAGGCTGCTGATACTCATATTGTTAAAACTTTAAATCAAATACAATCCCAGAGACTCTATGAAATGAGAACAGTTTAATCGAGACCTAAAAGGTGAGGTTTCTACTACTTTTCCCAAACCTTTTTATAACTTTCATTTTTTGTGTGTCTCTCGTCGTGCCATAACTGATGCTTAATTACTACTGGGACAACTGTGTTGTATCCTCCCTTACAGATTTCAGTAGCCACACAGTTGAAGAAGGTATGTTGAATTCCTCTCTCCATCACCCTTTCCCTCCTTGAAAGCAGAACATTTCATATGTGATTATCTGTTTCATTTCAGTTTAGATGGAACTTCTCCCCCTTTACTCCACTTGTGCTTTGCTAACTTACTGATAAGATAAATTGGCATTCAAAAAAATACATTTCACTTTGTGTACAGGGCATCCAACCTTCCTGAAGCATTGGGCAATAGCAAATTTCTTGTTAAATAAAAAATAACAGAAGCCAAAGAATCCTTTTGGTGACAACCCTGACAGTTCTGCTCTGGGCTGTGACTCTGGTTCCAATGCTGATTTCCTACACAGTGTGCACGTATCCTTCAACGTAGACTCATGTAGATCCCCCATTAGAAAATTTTGTGTTCAGGTAGGTCCACATGGCCTGGCAATGTCTCAGGCTTTGCCTCCTCCCCAATAATGTCAATCATTATTAGTCACTAGAAATTAGAAATTTTCAAACAGTAAGTCGTATGAGCAATAAAAAGTTTCTTTGAAATAAATAGCAATGATGATCATCCATTTTTAGAAACTGGAAACTCATGACCAATTAAAGAAGTAAAGGACAGCTGGATGTTGTGACACACAACTATAATCCTAGCATTGGGACAGGAGGAAGGAGGGCTGAAGCAGAAAGATCTCAAATTTGAGCCTAACCTGGGCAACTTAGCAACTTAGCCAGAACCTATCTCAAAAATAAATAATAGACAAAGGACTGGGGATGTAGCTCAGGCAAAGGTTCTGAGTTCAATCTTGAGTGCTGGTGGTGGAAGGAAGGGGAGAAAGGGGGAAAAAAGAAAAAAAGTAAACATTGCTGTGGCAGTGAAAGTGCTGAATGCAAATTGAGAGATCAGAAAACACCAGTTGGATCTTTCACACAGATGGGAATGCACTGAGAAAGAGATGGATATATACTGTTATACGCTGTGGGTGATTCAATAGAATTCTCCTACACAATCTGGAATTTGAGCTAGTAGAATTTTAGTACAATTTTTAAATCATCCAACCTCGATATAAACTACTAAATATTATAATTTCCAGACTAATTATTGTATAGTGCTACTGTTTCTAAGCATCAGGAACCCTCTTACATATGTTCTTAAATACAAATTAATCATTGGCTCTACTTGAGACTTTAGAATTGAGATTAATCATGCTTGATCTCTCCCATGGATGGAAATATAAATGCTTCTTTCTTTTGAAAGGCAAAAAGAAAAAAATTCTAATAAATACCTACCTGATTTGAAACAGTTTCTCAATCAATTGAGAAATTGAAATGATGGATAATCATAGTGTACAGTTAAGATGTTGTATTTAGCAGTCATATTTTTAGAAGAGGATTACGTTTTAAATATGGAAATAATTATCCTATCATGAAGAAGACAGTTTAAAATTTTTTTTGTTGTAGTTGCACCTGAGGCCTGGGAATATACTGGGGAGTTAATGTTAGGAAAATTCCCCTCTCTAGGGAAATATGCTTTGCCCAAGAAATCCCCAAGAAGGGATCAGGTTGGCTAATTACAGAGTTCAGTGGATTATGTAGAATCTGAAATTACTCACCACTTCAACATCACCTTTAACTTCCAGTTATAGCCACAAAATTGGAGGACAATGTACAGTCCAGTGTGTAAAATGGTATTGTATTGGTCCAGTGAGAGATACCCATTTAGATTTTCATCTTGTATGTATCAAACTAAATGAATGTAGTTCCTTTCCTGCACTGTTTTTTTCAGCTCTAAAACAAAGGGATTAAACTAGATCAGTGTTTCTCAAATTCTGACTTCCCTTTGAGCCATTCTGGAATCTTCTTAAAATGTGAGACTGAATTCAGGAGGTCACAGGTGTGGGACCTGAGAATCAGTATTTCTTCCTGGCTCTAAAGGAGGCCAATGATGCTGACCTGGGAACTTTTCGGGAAAACTCAATGACACATTTCCCTTGATCTCTGTAGGATACTTCTTTACATACCCAAGGATTCCTGTTTTCATCACACATTGCTTGAACTGTTCACGGGGATTAGATCACAATTTCTTAATCCCAACATCCTTCACCATGTTGAAAAAGGCCCAGTTTAGGTTTTGCTTTAGTTATTTACAGTGTCTCCTCAGAATGCCTATCTGCTGCTGGGCATAGTTGACCTTTAGTAAAATCACAAGTGTGGGAAAGAATAAATTCATTTCACGTCATTTGAAGACTACAGACCCAGGCATTTATACAGTGACCTCAATCTTCAGCCACATTCCCCTTGATACCTTTTAATGGTCTTAAATACTCACTTGACACCCAATTAAATGACAAATATTCACTATATTTCCTCTCTCTTTCTTGACTGTACTTTTTCACCTGCCAATGAGGCAGCTCTCACAGCGTTCAGGTGAGAGAATGTGGTAGACATCTCCAGAGGGAGAGCTGAGAGTTCTAGCATTCATATCTGCTGGTGATGTTAAGACAATTACCTTAGTCATAACCACAACGGTGACACTACATTCTTTATTAAAGCACTGAGCTATGTTTATTCATCTGCTATAAAATACTCAGTTGAAAAGCACTGATTTACTAAGCTCTGGGTCTCAAGCCTGGCTCAGCCCTCATCCCATGTGATGACCTTGGGAAAGTTAAGAACATAAAGCCACTCCCATCACACTGTAGGAAATGGCTTTGGTGCACAGTGAGCACAGTGTGGAGATTTGCTCACATTACAGTTGGAGAGCCAACTGTTAACATCTTATTTGAGGCCATCTTCACTTATTTTTTTTTACAGAACAAATTTCCTGCTTTCTGTGTATAAATTTTTATTTGTCATGATAATCCTTAATATTACTAAAATCTTGCAATTTATAAAATCTTGATAAATTATAGGTATAGAAGTTAAATTTTAATTTATCGTATTTCATATAGGCACTTGTGGAAAACATAAAATTGTGTAGCAGCAATACTGCTCTCAAAAAATGTGCAGTCTTACGGTGAAGAAGAAGATGTATTTAAATAAATACAATGTAATAAAGAAAGTAGATTACCTACCATGCAGGTGGGTGATATCTAGGATACTTCTGTCTGCTGCTCTAAGGCAAAATAAAGAAGAAAATCCACATAAGCATATTACTCCTAAATTTAATTTTAATCTTCCTAAAACTCTTTTTTCAATATGAAGCTAATGTTATTGTTTTCCTGATTATATGGGAAAGCAGAGATTATGAGGAAGTTTAGAAAGACAGAGGTAATAATTACTTTCTGGAAGGGACTGTGTAAGAGGAACCTTAATTATTATTGTTCATCTTTTTTTATTCTTTAAATTTTGTACCATATATATTATCTACATTATACCCTATAGAAATTTATAAAGTAGAAAATGAAATTACTCATTATACTACCATGCACTGAACATTTTCATGCTTCCTGATTCTAGAATCTATCTTCCATGTGTGTACAGAAATATATTGTTTAGAAAAATTAGATCATAATGTATACAATGTTTTCAAAAATATCTTTCATGTCAAGTAAAATGTAGGACATAATTTTTAAAGCCTATATTATATTCTATTGTCTGTATCTTTTTAGTTGATTTAACCCCCGTAGCTGAGTATTTTCAAGAGTTCTACGATGAAAACATTATTCATGCATACTTATGTAACTGTCTTGTTTTTTTAGTCTATGAGAGGGTCAACTGCTGGGCCAAGATATGCAGGCAAAGCTGAAATTTAAAAAAGCCACAGTGTGAGTAAAGGAATAAGCCCCGCATCGGGAGAGAAGCCCATTTGTTGCTCTGTAGTAACAAAGGCAATGTTGCGCCTTCTTCCCATAACTGGAAAGGGTGCGAGGTGTTCATGCTCATTAGTCTGTCAGGTAGGGAAATGGAAAGAAGGGAAGTGGAGTCTTGGCAGTAAACTATGGTAGAACAGTCCTGATTCGATTTGCTTTTGTTTCTCTGCTTTCCAAAGGAAAAGTCCTTGCTTGATCTTTATAGCAGCTCTCGAGTTGTCTGCTAGTAGACTTATATTATAACCAGTAGTTATATTAACTAATGTAGTTAATATTTATTTTAATGATAAGTGGGTAGAATCTGAAGGAGATCAGAACAGCTCTTTAGATTTAGAAGGCCAGATGACAGTTTGTACTTAGAGGATAGAAATGAAAAATAGGAGTTATAAGACATGATGGTAATTTTAGTCATTTTTTTTCTCTTTTTCTCTTTTTTAGCATGAGGAAATTTAGACTGAATGAGATTCAGTCACTCACTCAAGATCATATAGCTGATGAAAGCCTGAAGAGGATGTAGAATGTAAACCTACACTGTAGTTCAATGTTACTTGCATTATACCAGGTAAGTTCAATTTATGATCACACAGAATACTAAAGACAATCATTAGCGAACAGAGAGGTTTGCATTATTACACTTTACTAATCTATTTAGCAGTTACCTTTGGAGTAGTCCATGCTCCAATTTCCCTTTAGTTATGCTTACATCAAAATAAGAGAAGAAACATGGCTTCCACTGGAGCAATACTGAGATGTGTGCTGGGGTACTTACATCTGAATGCAATGGGAAGCTAATTTCTTGCTATTTACATTTGCAATGTTTCTTTCAGTTAGGATTTTTGCTTTACTAAGTGGTGCAGTAATTGAAATACCTCCTGTAGCTGAGCTGTGCAGAAATATGAAGGGGATCAGAATAGCTCTTTAGATAGCTAAGCTTAGAGGACTCCTTGTACCTAACCAAGTAGAGTCCCTAGGAAACTCTACTGAGCTAACACCCAACAACTACCTCAGCTCTTTCCAGCCTCCCACACCTGTCAGTCCTGAGGAGAACTAATGACTTCTTAAAAGGTCCACTGTCTATGAGTGCTGGAGTATAAATGGGACATTACAAGCCCCCTTTAGAGAGAACTGTTAAATTAACTAACGAGATAAAGCTTGGATAATGCCTAAAATCTACTTGGAAATCTGTTTTAAAAAGAGAGTGAGAAAAAGTTTGTGAACAAAAAGTGCCTTCAGGCTTTTTTTTTGATATGTGGAAACTTCAGTGGAAAAAGAAAGACAATTTGAAGCTGTGGCCTCCAGGTTCTTTTTAGAATCAATGGCAAGGATCCAACAATTGTGGGTCATTTCTTCATAAGACAAAGTGGTGAGCTACAAGAGAGCTGATAGTTTTCACAAACTCATGTGCAAGAGCCTTTTAAAACTATAACAAACACTCTTTTATTCTTACTGACTTTAGAAGATGTGTGGCATTTGAACTTGTTCCTGCTTCATGTACAAGTACAGATCTCATGAAATCTATTATAGACATAAGACACTTTCCTTTCAGTTATACTCAGAGACAGATTTTGTTCATAGAATTTCTTTTATCTTTTGTTCAATAAATATTGAGTAAGAATCTACTGTATGCCAGACTTGTTTTAGGGGTGTTTTAGCTATTTTTCTCATTTCTGAAATACTTGACAAAGTTAAAGGAGAAAAGGTTTACCACAGCTCATTGTATATTTTCAGTTCATAGTTAGCTGGCTCCAAGGCAGAGTTGCATGGCAAAGTGGCACTGCAGAGACACAGTCCGTGGCACGGTAAGGTAGGAAGAAGGCAGCAAAGGAGTGAAGTAGCAGGAGCAACAGCACTATCCTTCTTTCTCTCCCTTATATTCCATTTAGGTTACCTACCCTATGGCACCCTTAATCCTAGCATGAAATCCTTAATCCAAGCATGAAATTCTTAATCCCAGCATCACATATCCCAGATCCATCCAGTTCTGAAAAGTCTCACCTGTGAGTGCATGAAGCTTTAGGGTACATCTAGATACAAGCCATAACATGTCAGACCTGGTCCTAGAAGACTCTTGTGCAACTCTTTATGCAAAAGATGTTTAGTCTATCTCCAAGAGTTGCCAACATCCTAATAGTTTCAGGACTGCTGAAAAAACCAAGTCTTAAGTCTCCTCTGAGATTTAAGGAAAACTCTTAGCTATGAGCTCTTGTACAAATGACAAGAGAATTAAACACTTCCAAGATAAACATCACCAGTCCAAAAGGTACAAATGAGGGATTGACAGGAACAGGTTCAAAGCAAGTCTGAAATTTGCAAAGCAAACATTAAGTCCTGTAGTTCCATGTCCAGCATTCCTGGAAATCTGTGGCAAGATATGAACTACAAAAGGCTTCTGTAGATATCCCCTTACTACACTGCCAATTGTTGTAACTCCAGGACCGTCTCTTTAGCTGGGTTTTCTCACTCCTTGCTTCTTTCCTCAGACAGTCCATGTTCCTGTCTTCTCTAGCTTTCTTGGTCTCCACTGCACCTCTGGCTTCACAAACTGCGCTCTCAGATTCACACTGCCTGGCCTCCAGGCCTTCTTCTGAAATCTGGGTGGAAGCCCTCCTGACTCCATAGCTTTTATATTTTGTAAACATCTAAAACCAGCTCCATGTGGATGACACCAAGGTCTCCAACAACTGGAGAAGTAGCCTAGCTTCCTTCTCTCTTGCTGTAAAGGTGAAATTCTCATGAACTAAATCCCAAGAGAAAACTTTCCTGGGATGCTGTCATTCTGGAACATGGTGCTCTGGGGGCTCTCTTCTCAAAAATAGTCTTTTGCTTTTGCAATTTTGAGGCTTCAAAGGCTGAAGAACTGCTGGTTTTTGTGATGTCCTCAAGCAGTCTTTTCTGTTATCTTATTTTTTTGCATTTTCTTTCTTCTCTGCTCTATCTTTGCAGTGAAAAGCTTTATTGAAGCTATATTTCTTGCCAAACTCACAACTCACCAAGTCATTCTGCAGGACTCTTTGCCTCCCCCCCCCACTGTAGCCATGCCATCACTTCAGTATTATACTGCCTTGAAATTTCTTTCACAAGATTACTTAGTCCACTGCCTTTCCTCTCAGTCTCAGACAAAGTCTCTGAACATGACAAAAATGCAGACAAAATTCCTGCCAAAAGATAAAACATGGTCTGGAGTCCAACAGCCAATGCAGTTCCTTGTTCTTGACTGAAGCCTCTTTGAGCCTAGTCTTTACCAGATGCATTTCCATTAGCATTCTAGTCTTCTGAGCTCTGACCAGCATCTCTCATCGTATACAGTTTAAAGTATTACAGTTTTGATGTGCTTGGTGGCTTGGTCCAGGAAGGAGCAATGGTCAAGAGGTGAAACTGAGGGTGTATTTTAATGATGGGGCCAAAAACACTCTGCAGCATTTACTGACTAGGACATTGCTCTCTGTTTATTGACGCTAGGCTAGAATGTGCTAAGTAAAATAGGAAATTGTTACTAAAATATAATTGTCACAGATGTGGCAATTTGTAAAAATATTAGTCTTATATGTATGACCATTTATATGGTGTGTGTATATGTGTTTAGAGATTAATAATAAAATATGATATGATAATATGACATGAAGAATTACCAGAGCAGAAAACTAGAATGATGTGGGCTACAAACCATTCCAAAAATTCACTCTGTTTGATGGCACTGGCCCCAGGAAAGTTCATGTTGACACTTGGTCAAAACTGGCCAATTATGGTGGTGGCACCTAAGACCTATGTCACTGAACCTCAGTTATTTCAGCTTTTCCTAGCTTCTGCTTTGTTCTCCATATCCCTTCTGCAATGCAGGAGAAACAAGCACAGAGCAGTGTGGGCCTGGAATGGGGGAACAGAGAAGCGGGCAAGGGACTATGTATAGGCACCAAAGAACTAGAGGATAATTATCCCTTACAGCTGCTGGTATTGGGGCTCTATGGAGAAACGGAGTCAAGGTGTGTGTGTGTGTGTGTGAGTGTGTGTGTGTGTGTGTGCCCCTGTTACTGGCTCAGCACTGTTCTAAGTTCTGCTTTTCAAAACAAATCTCTTTTGCAGTACTGGCAAGTGCCTATGCTAGGCGAGTGCTCTACCACTGAGCTATACCCCAGCACTCTTGATTATGGAATTCTGTTGCATAGGTCCCAAGTCTACAGAGCAGCCAGCAACTTAGAAACTGGTATGGAACTGCAGCATCAGTCCACACTTTTTCTGGCTTGGGAGAGGACAGTCTTTGAAAGTCTGTTGAAGCCCTCATCTGATTGGTGAGGCTTTCCACATTAAGCATGGTTGATCTACACTGGTTAAAGTCCATTGGTTTAAATATTAATTTCATTCAAAAAACGTCTTCACAGAAGGATCCAAAATAATGGTTCACCAAATATTTGAGCACTAAAGTCCAGCCAGGTTGTCTTAAAAGTAACTCTAATAGTGCCCATGCCCTGAACTACAGGCTCACACTTGCTGGAGAGGGAAGAATGCAGTGGTAGGCTTAGACCCATTTATTTGTTCCTTGCTAGGGTCTAAAGGGATAGCTGTGTTTAAAGAATGAATGAATGGACTTCTATGATAAACTGTAAGGTTCATCCCTGCTCCCACTCCCATCCCTGACTGCATGTGTCCTATCATTAAAATTCTAGACATGAGGCCATTACACTGAAGATGAATGAGAGTTAAAGAATCCCACAATTTAAAAAAATATGAAGAAGTATGAAAGATTTTTCTTCCTCTTCTACTCTAGGAAGAATGCAGTAGTACATGTTATATTTTTGGTGTAATAGAGTCCCACCATGCCTGGGAGTGTTGTCCTAGAGTGTTGTCCACTGTTCCAGTGTGTTGGTCAAGGTGGGCATTTTATTTCTAAAAGTGACATAATTGAGGATGCTTTGTGATACAGCTGCTGGTATATTAGCAAGTGTCATCCCAATGCAAATCTCAAAAGGGTCATGAGCCAGGCATGGTGGTGCAGACCTGTAATCCTTGTAATCTGCAAGGCTGAGGCAGGAGGACTATACGTTCTAGCCAAGCAAGGCAGCTTATTAGTGAGACACTTTCAGAAGAAAGATAAAAAAGGGCTTATGTGGTAGCTCAGTATGATTGACCTGAGTTCAAATCCTGGGATGGGGGAGGGAGAGACAGCAATAGAGACAGAGACAGAGGCAGAGAGACAGAGACACAGAAAGAGAGACAGAGACAGAGAAACAGAAGAAGAGGCAGAGAGAAAGATGGAGAGAGAGGACACAATATTAATGGTCCAAATGGAAATCACTGAAGCTGCCAAAGGGCTGCTGAGTAGCTGACTGTGAGAAAAATCCTGGTTTCTGCCCTCCCAGCAATCTCCTGTGTGGGAATACCCCTCAGGCCTTAGCATCCCTCAGACTATTATGTCACTAAAATTCAATTGATAAAAATAGTTTTTTGCTTTTTTTTTTTTCCTGAAAAGTATCAGTAGTCTATTGTTGGGGCTTCTTCCCGAAGGCGGGATGACTCCCCCTCCCAGAGAGATGTAACATAAAGTAAATAAACCCAAGAGTGCAAACAATGGGTGTGTGGAGCCTACAGGTCACTCAGAAGCTATGTAAATAACTTTTGTTTTTAAAAAACAAAATCTGCTTTGTCACTCTTCTTCCCAGAAGCTAAAAGAAAGAAAAAAAAAATAGACCTGTAAGGACTTACAAACAATCTTTCCAAAAGTGTGCACACGATCATATCACACTCATTTACAGAATGGGGTAAGGAGGTACCAGGATACAGTTTACATTCCAGTCAGTGCCAAAGCCAGACTGATCCTGCTAATGTTCATTGAGTTCGATCTGTAAATGAATTACTATGTTAAGTATCAAACGCATCTTCTATTTTTAATTTTTATTTTTTCATGCTCTATTTTCTAGATATATATTTTTTCAATCTTAAAAAATGTGTTCAAAGCTGGGTGTGGTGGCACATGCCTGTAATCCCAGGTAGTTGAGAGGCTAAGGCAGATTACAAGTTTAAAACCAGCCGAGGCAGCTTAAGGAGACCCTGTCTCAAAATCAAAACTAGCAACAGGTGTAGCTCAGTGGTACAGCATTTGCTTAGTCTATGTAAGGCCCTAGGTTCAATCTTAGCACTGCAAAGAAAAAAGGCAAAAACATGCACATTTGCTAAATATTTTCTCTAAACTGACAAGGGGAATAAAGAAAAAGCACTTGGTATTTTTTTTTTAATTTGGAAAATATTGGGTCATTCAACATTAAGACTTATACTGCTTAGAATCAAGAATAAAAAATCATGATGACATTTCTGTCTCAAAGAATTCTCTGGGTTTACAATTTTTTCTTTCTCTTCCTCCTGCTCCTGCCTTTTCTTTTTCAGAAATTAAAAGTACATCACCAAAAGACTCAACTCCCAAGCAATGTCAGCCATACTGAAATTTTCATAGCTTGGTTCTCTCAGAGCAATTCGAAGCAAGAGCATAAACATGAAAGCAAATGGTGCCTAACACAATAACTGGAATAAAGCCGACAGAACCTCAAAAAGCCCTGGATTATAGCATTGCCTTGTAGCATGCCGGAGATAGGAAGAGACTGAGGTAACCATCTGTAATAGTGACACTTAGTCAAGTACTCACTCAGGAAAAACAGTTATTTACCAAAATCCACATGAATCAAAATTAAATTTGATTTTTGGGACATTTATTAGCCTGCTCCATTTCTGAATTTCAAGGCAGTCTGTTTCTATGGTTTTATTTCACTTTAATTTGGGCTAGAATTGGAATTTTAGTTGATTTGTTAAACCAAAAAGAGAGAGTAAAGAAAATGCTTTTGAATTGTATAAGTCAAAGTTTGGCACTAGTCCCTAGGCATGTTCTATCCCCTTAATTTCTCTCAATCTCATGAAGTAATTGGTATTATGTCCATGTCACAAATTGTTACTCTACTTAGGAATACCACTGGGATTTGAATACAAGTCTTTTCATTCTTTGTATTTCCAACTACTCCTTACTGTATTATTCTATAGCTGTCTAGTTCATGTGAATTTAAAACAATGCATTTATGAAGATGATATTAGTGCCAACATTTGCTTTTACCAGCTGGACATTAAAATTATACTTTTAGGGACTGATAAAGATTAAGCTTCATAAAAGTAATAAGTGGAGTTGATATGCATGAGGGGTTTGTTTTCATTCAGTAGACTATAACTGAAGGTCTCTTAATATAATACAAGTCAGTTGTTTGACATGTTCTTGTTTTGGAATATTCTATTTGAATTTTCAGGAAGATGAAGCCACTGAGTAAAAGCACAATGGAAAAAATAAAAAGAGAAGAGAGTAAAAAAAGGACAAGGTTACTGAAGGAACCATCTAGGATATAAGACCATGGTAATGTGGAAAAGAAATTCATGACATGATCTGATTCAGTTATTCAATAGATGATTATTAAGCATAAATTCAAAAGTATAAGCTTGTACTGAATTTTATGAATAATGTTTCTTCGAACATATACAGATGAGAGGCGGGGGGAGTTGGAACAGGTAACAATTTTTAAGTTTGTCATATGCTAGTCTTGCGATCTCTTTGAAAAAAAAATCGAATTTTCCCAGTTCCTCAGGATGGAATTAAAAGGGCTAGGTCTTTTTAGTCCCATTTTTACTCTGGGGAAACTGAGGAAGGGAAGAAAGAGGACGAGGAAAAGAGAGAGAGAGAGAGAGAGATTAATGATGCCAAAGCTGAATTTAAGCACATGCCCTCTGACCTCCACACAAAGGTTCTTACCATTTTAATGCATAGTCTACAGGGCAGATGTGGAGTCAGAAGGAACAGGGGCTTTTATCAGCTTCTGGTGAATTTGGCCAAAGAATAACTGCTAGCTCTTAGTGGTGCCTTAAGGTAGTTCAGAGTTCAGTCAATGTAAACTATTTTGGCTCTTAAACGTGACTACTAGAATACACATGTGGCATATAATGTAATGGATCTGTCACTCAGTAGTAGCTGGATATCCTAAGCAATTACTTAAATTCTCCAAGTGATGGTTTCTTTACCTGTAAAATGGATTCAAAAGTAACTACCACACAGGATTTTCTAAAAATTAATTAAGACACATGCACATCGACGCTTAGTAGTGAGTCTGGTATGATATATGACAGCAAAAGACTTCAGTTTTGTATTGCTGTTGCATTGGTCACATGCTAAGTGCATCACTTCTATTATCAGAGCTTATTCTATTAAGATTATAGTCACAATTTAATCTATCAATTCTTAAAAAAATTGTTTTGTTGATCCTCATAAACTTGACCCTGGTTGTCCTTCATTTTAATCTTTCTGCTAATGCCAAATGAATCAAGTTCCTTCACTGTTTCATTCCACACACTATCTTTGGGCTCTGGGATCTCTATTCTCAAGTGCAGTTTAGGGAAGAAAAGCCCAGGAACTAGAGTCAGGTTGTCTGAGTTCAAATTTTGCCTTCAATACTTATTGGCTGTGTAGGTTGCTTAATCATTCTGGTTTTCTGCTTGTTTGTTTTTAATCCACGAAGCAGGGACAATACTACTGCTCACATTTAGACTTGCTGTGGGGTTAAATAAATTAATACTTGCATGTCTTTAGCCCTTGGAAGAATGTTTGCCACAGAATATGGGCTCAGTAAATGTTAACTTTTTCATTAATTCTCAGTAAGTTTGCCTTTAGTAAGTCACTGTATTGTATTGTTTACTTGGAGTGTTTGTAACTATGTTTTCTACATATTTTGAAAAATGGAGTCAAGATGCCCTAAAGGCTTTGTACTTTCTGATTTCTCTTGTGGGGAGCACTTTGTCCAAATGTCATTTTCCAGACCCCGCCCACGTAAATGTCATTGCTCCTTGCCCTTCTCATGGTCACTTTTTGTGCTTTCTCTTGCTTTACTCTTTTCTGTTGTGTTAACTTACACAGGACACATTATATATTCCTGTGTTTATCATTCACCTTCCCTTGATAAAATATAAGCATTAAGCATGGTTTTGTTTTGCTTACTGCATTTGAAGTCATAGAACTAAATCTGGCACATAAAACTCCTCAGTAAATATTTCCTGAATGAATAATTGAAGTTAAGATTTATTTTTGCTCTCACCAGTTCATTTTCTGCTATACTTACTTTTAAAACATTTATCTCTTCAAGAAATTGATCTGATCACCAAAAAAAATGAAGGTAATTGTTGTGGGGAAACTTAAAAAAATCTTTCATGGTATAAAACCAAAGGTATGAAAACAAAGTTAAAACCTTCAAAAATTTATCACGAGATCCATGTCATAGGCCCTCACAGATGTAAACAAAATAATCAATCTTTAAGAGAATAAAGAAAAAATCATAACAGTCTATTAAATGTTAGTTTAATTAATTTAAAATGGAGGCAACTTCACTTTTCAGACATGCAACTTCTGTTTATGTCTAACATTAAAAGAGTGGATGATTAGACAGGAATATATTTCAGTTTATGTATAACTAGAGCTTCTAAGGCATCAGTTCTAATCAAATACTTTAAGAACCGAATTTTTCCTTTGGATTCCCCAATGTTCTTTCCATTAAAAACACAATAAAACCTAAACAAAACACTTGAAAGTAAGTCAATATTTGATTCCAGTAGATGGCACTACAAAGCAATCTTTAATGATCCAGTAAGATTTTTTTTGATCATGATAATATTCATTCTATAGTAAGATAATTAAAGTGACATGCAGTGAAAACAGATAGGTTGGGGATTTCAAAGTTATAATAAAGCTGGATTGTACAGTGCCTCAAAACTGAAAATCACTTTTTCATACAAGATTTTTGTTTCTTGTTTTAATGTGATGTCTATTTTATGTTGAGTCCAGTAAGACTCATACATTGGCACTGTGCTAAATTTAATGCCATTTAGGACAGTTATCACAGACAGAGGAAATGTTGTTCTAGGGTCACAAACCACATGCTTGACCTGTATTTGTGTGTGTGTAAGTTTTCCCAGTAGATACCCTTGGTCATAAAGGGGTTGGGTTAGACCATACAAATGGCCCTAGATAACACCAGCTGCATAAGAAGCACATGGTACTATAACAGAAATTCCAGAAATAATAACAGTGGGTCAGAATTCAGACTTTTTTTTTCTTTTTTGGTACTAGAGATTTGTTCTAGTTAATTTTCTCTTGGTGAGATAAAATACCTGACATCTAAAGTCAAAGGTTTATGTAGCTCACAGTTTGTAGGTGTATCAGTCTATAATCAACTGGGTCCAAGGCAGGAAGCCTTGGCAGAGAAGCATCAGAGGAGAAACAGTTCATGGCAGCAGAACACAGCAAAAGCATCAAGAGAGAGCCACAGGAGCCTGTTTCTGTTCCTTATATTGTATTCAGGCTACCAGGATTAGGGCAGTGCTAATCCAATCAGTAGAGTGATCCAGCAGTCACTCACCCTTAATCCCAGCACCCTTAACCCTAGCATTGCACTATAAATCAATTGCATACTTTAGATTCAGCCATCTCCAAAAAACCCCCTATGACTGCAGAGGCTCTGTGGGGACATCTAGATACAAACCATGACAGGATTAAGCCAAGGACTTTTGCACTAAGCTAAATCCCCAGTCCTTTTTAATTTTATGTTTTGAGACAAGTTCTTGCCAAGTTGCTAAATTTCTAGGTTCTCAAATTTGTGATTTTACTTTAGCTTCTCAGTTTGGGGATTACTGGTGCATGCTGCCAAAGGGCTGGCCATGAGACTGTAAAACATGAAGTATTATACCTTAAAAAAAGTAAGAGTGAGGTATGCGTTACTGTAGAGGTACAACCCAGTAGCCACAAGAGTTGGGTGTCATTTTTATCAGGATTTCTGTTTCTCTTTTTGTGGAGCAAGAAGTTACTTCCAAGCAAATCACCTCAGCTTTTTGTATAAATGTCCTCGGACACTTCAGACATAATACATTTTTATATGCTCTAAACACTGTTATTTTTTTCCTATTACTGTTAAGGAATCTTGAGAAGTCTTCCAGAATATATAAGAAGTGAGAGCAATAGTGAATTTCTGAAATTTCTGGAAATGTATGAGAGTGCTCTGTGAGATGACTATGTTTTTGTGGATCACCACACATCACCATGGTAGATTCATTAAGAACCTTTTAGCCATAGCAGTCAGTCATGTCTCACTAGGCTTTTCTCAGAATCTCATAGATTCTGTCACATCAGCCTTGGATGTTTAGGGACAAGGTAAAATCCCTGCAATAAATGCAAAAGCACATCAGTAATTCAAACAAAAGGGCAAATATGACCTCAACAACACCTCTACTATAGCACAGCAGGGCAAGGAGACATTAACATCTTTCCTCTGCAGGTCTTTCCTCTACAGGTTGATTTTGCTTTCTTCTTTGTGATCCCATAGTATATGTTTTTGCAAAACCAAACTGACAGAGATGGTGCTAGAATATTCTAGAAAGTTATTTGTGGCTATGGGTGTGGCAGATTGCTAAGCACCCTTTAGAGTCTTAGAAGATTTTACAGAAGACCTAGTCCTATCCTTTCATTTTACCCAGTGGGAAAATTAATCAGATAGGCCACTGGGCTTACCGAGGTCACATATCAATGACTGAAGTCATTTGAGTCCCCAATGCATTGGCCAAGTGCTTTAACTGAGAGTAAGACACAGGAGGAAAAAAGTGAAAAAATGATATTTACTCCGGGTGAATTTAGGAAGTTGTTGAAAAAATATTATCTTATGCAGCCTAGGAGAAAACAAATTTTGGCTTACAGCCTCCAGTAAAGAGAGAATTGTGCAAATTCATTAACTATTTGGCTGTGACCTCTGCCTCTCCTGCTTTTGTGAGAAGGTACTATGCTATAGAAAATCTTCATATTAAAAAGAATATTTGTGATAATGGCTCATCCTGAGGAGATCCTTTTTTCTCAATGTGAAGTGGTAATTTAAACATGAATAAGTATAACATTAAATTTTTTTTCTTAGTATGGCGACAATAAAATTCAAATAAATCTGTTAACATAAGCAAAATAATTATGCATACAATTTTCAACTTTTCTGCAAGTTTTCATGAATTTTAGGAATACACAGAATATGAATCTTTTCAACTGTTAAGCCTCTTATTTGTTTTGTGTCATCAAATGGCATAGCGTGTGAATATTTTATACTTAAGCAAAAATAATTTGAACATTTTGTATAATTTAGCATTATTTATCTAAAAAAAATTCTGACGTTCCTTTGAAGAAACCCACTCTGTGTAGCTGCAGTAAAACAGTAATGAAATTCATGCTTACCCACAGTTTAGTAATGTAATACCATCCACAGTTAGTTGGCATGATCAAGGGCTTATTAGGGGAGGGAGAAATTTTTAGTAAATATTAACAACATAGAAATCTTGGGTTAA